AACAAAAATGCAAACCTCGTGAAAATCTAATGAGATTTGACCGAGTTATGGGGATGGGAAGTTTTGACCCATGTCTGTATACGAAACTTGAGGTAAGATTTTGACATGAATTTCGACCAAAAAATATGTATTCAGATTTGAATGCCCGATTGATTTAGAGGGCAAACCATCAACAAAAATCCAAACCTCGTGAAAATCTAATGAGATTTGACCGAGTTATGGGGGTGGCAAATTTTGGCCCATGTCTATATACGAAACTTGGGGTAAGATTTTGACATGAATTTCGACCAAAAAATCGGTGTCGAGATTTGAATGCCAGAATAATCTAGAGGGAAAACTATTAAGAAAAAGCCAAGCTTCGTGAAAATCGGATGAGATTTGGCCGAGATATGGGGGTGGTACATTTTGACCCATGTCTATATACGAATCTTGGGGTAAGATTTGGACATGAATTTCGACTAAAAAATCGGTGTTCAGATTTGAATGCCAGATTAATCTAGAGGGAAAACCATGAAGAAAAAGCCAAACTTCGTGAAAATCGGAAGAGATTTGGCCGAGATATGGGGGTGGTAAATTTTAACCCTTGTCTATATAGGAAACTTGGGGTAAGATTTTGACATGAATTTCGACCAAAAAATCGGTGTCGAGACTTGAATGCCAGAATAATCTAGAGGGCAAACTATTAAGAAAAAGCCAAGCTTCGTGAAAATCGGATGAGATTTGGCCGAGATATGGGGGTGGTACATTTTGACCCATGTCTATATACGAATCTTGGGGTAAGATTTGGACATGAATTTCGACCAAAAAATATGTATTCAGATTTGAATGCCAGATTAATCTAGAGGGAAAACCATGAAGAAAAAGCCAAACTTCGTGAAAATCGGAAGAGATTTGGCCGAGATATGGGGGTGGTAAATTTTAACCCTTGTCTATATAGGAAACTTGGGGTAAGATTTTGACATGAATTTCGACCAAGAAATCGGTGTCGAGATTTGAATGCCAGAATAATCTAGAGGGAAAACTATTAAGAAAAAGCCAAGCTTCGTGAAAATCGGATGAGATTTGGCCGAGATATGGGGTTGGTACATTTTGACCCATGTCTATATACGAATCTTGGGGTAAGATTTGGACGTGAATTTCGACTAAAAAATCGGTGTTCAGATTTGAATGCCAGATTAATCTAGAGGGAAAACCATGAAGAAAAAGCCAAACTTCGTGAAAATCGGAAGAGATTTGGCCGAGATATGGGGGTGGTAAATTTTGGCCCATGTCTATATACGAAACTTGGGGTAAGATTTTGACATGAATTTTGACCAAAAAATATGTATTTACATTTGAATGCCGGATTGATCTAGAGGGCGAACCATGAACAAAAATGCAAACCTCGTGAAAATCTAATAAGATTTGACCGAGTTATGGGGATGGGAAGTTTTGACCCATGTCTGTATACGAAACTTGGGGTAAGATTTTGACATGAATTTCGACCAAAAAATATGTATTCAGATTTGAATGCCAGATTGATTTAGAGGGCAAACCATCAACAAAAATCCAAACCTCGCGAAAATCTGATGAGATTTGACCCAGTTATGGGGTTGGGAAATTTTGGCCCATGTCTAAATACGAAACTTGGGGTAAGATTTTGACATGAATTTCGACCAAAAAATCGGTGTCAAGATTTGAATGCCAGAATAATCTAGAGGGAAAACTATTAAGAAAAAGCCAAGCTTCGTGAAAATCGGATGCGATTTGGCCGAGATATGGGGGTGGTACATTTTGACCCATGTCTATATACGAATCTTGGGGTAAGATTTGGACATGAATTTCGACTAAAAAATCGGTGTTCAGATTTGAATGCCAGATTAATCTAGAGGGAAAACCATGAAGAAAAAGCCAAACTTCGTGAAAATCGGAAGAGATTTGGCCGAGATATGGGGGTGGTAAATTTTAACCCTTGTCTATATAGGAAACTTGGGGTAAGATTTTGACATGAATTTCGACCAAAAAATATTTTCTCAGATTTGAATGCCAGATTAATTTAGAGGGCGAACCATCAACAAAAATCCAAACCTCGCGAAAATCTGATGAGATTTGACCCAGTTATGGGGTTGGGAAATTTTGGCCCATGTCTATATACGAAACTTGGGGTACGATTTTGACATGAATTTCGACCAAAAAATATGTATTCAGATTTGAATGCCCGATTGATTTAGAGGGCAAACCATCAACAAAAATCCAAACCTCGTGAAAATCTAATGAGATTTGACCGAGTTATGGTGGTGGCAAATTTTGGCCCATGTCTATATACGAAACTTGGGGTAAGATTTGGACATGAATTTCGACTAAAAAATCGGTGTTCAGATTTGAATGCCAGATTAATCTAGAGGGAAAACCATGAAGAAAAAGCCAAACTTCGTGAAAATCGGAAGAGATTTGGCCGAGATATGGGGGTGGTAAATTTTAACCCTTGTCTATATAGGAAACTTGGGGTAAGATTTTGACATGAATTTCGACCAAAAAATATGTACTCAGATTTGAATGCCAGATTGATTAAGAGGGCAAACCATCAACAAAAATCCAAACCTCGCGAAAATCTGATGAGATTTGACCGAGTTATGGGGTTGTGAAGTTTTGACCCATGTCTATATACGAATCTTGGGGAAAGATTTTGACATGAATTTTGACCAAAAAATATGTATTTACATTTGAATGCCGGATTGATCTAGAGGGCGAACCATGAACAAAAATGCAAACCTCGCGAAAATCTGATGAGATTTGACCAAGTTATGGGGTTGGGAAATTTTGGCCCATGTCTATATACGAAACTTGGGGTAAGATTTGACATGAATTTCGACCAAAAAATATGTATTCAGATTTGAATGCCCGATTGATTTAGAGGGAAAACCATTAACAAAAATCCAAACTTCGTGAAAATCTGATGAGATTTGACCCAGTTATGGGGTTGGGAAATTTTGGCCCTTGTCTATATACGAAACTTGGGGTAAGATTTTGACATGAATTTCGACCAAAAAATATGTATTCAGATTTGAATGCCAGATTAATCTAGGCGGAAAACCGTGAACAAAAAGCCCAATTTCGTAAAAATCGGATGAGACTTAAACCAGTTATGGGGGTGGGAATCCAATCTGCCTATCGGTCTATCTTCCCATATCTTTGGGTGGATTGAATCTATAAACCTTAAACATATCATAGCGATCGCAGTATAATCTCAACAGTTTATTTAAAACAGTAAAGAGCAAAGAAAAGGCAACGCAACTATTAAGTAACAAAGAAATTAAAGATCTGAAATAGAGTATCTCAACAAATCGTATGTATAGTGATCAAACTTTTCTTAAGACTGAGCAACAGGGTAGCTTCCACTCGAGTACTCTCCACTTAAGAATTTATTTTATTTTTTGTATGCATTTCTCGAGGTTTTCTTTTGTGACCGCCTGGTTTTTGCACGCATTTATATACTCGTATAGTGCAGCTCTTATGTTACATTTAGATTTGCATTTTTATTTAGCGCATAAGTGCAGTCGAGCTGGGCCCCCGACGGCTCGCCCTGCTTCATAAAAAACTCATTCTTTTTGTTTCAGCTCATGCATTCATTATGGCTATGGCTAAGACGAAGCGCGTCCGTCGCCTTCTTGTGCTTGGCTGAGTTGTGTTTTTTATTCCCTTTGTTGGGCTTTGCTGCAAATTCACATGATTTGTCAGTGGAAATGGCTCAGAAGTGGGGCGTCTGGCTGACAGCTGAAGGTCAGCCTTAAAGCGTATGTGTGGCTTGACAACGTATGTGAGTGAACAATTTAAGCCTGAGCTGGACAGGCTGGGTCAGCTGTTAAATTGAAAGACCCCTTAAATAACATTTATAATTGAGCACTTTTCACACGTACCTCCAATGAAAATCCCTTTGAAAAGCTGTGCAAAATAAAATGCAGCGCACATAATTAAATAAACGTCAACGGGAAAATATTTGTTGGTAGTGCGATTGCAGGGTTTAAGCCGCACACACCGAGCACGCCTGTTGCTGTCAGTTGAGGGCTGCAAGGACTGGCCATAACGGACAGCAAAAGGACACACAAATACACACACGCACACACACACAGAGAGAGAAAAATGTCCTGCAAGAGCAGCTTAAAGCGTCGTATAGTGCCAATAATTGCGTTTACTTTGAAAGTGAACTCGAGTAAGCACTTCAAACAGTTAAACGCACAACTGAACAAAAGAGAACTTATAAACACTTAGCTGACATCAAATAATAACATTTATCTTAAGATTTACACTCTAAGCGCTTGGTCACATTATAAGTTGCTTAAGGGGAGAATAGTCATTCGCTCTGTGCCAATTAGCACAAGATTTATTCCAATTGTAAAGCAAAACGCAAAAGGGAAATATGTTTGATAATTCAACAAATTATACATAAATACACCTTTACATTACATTATTATTACCTAAGTTAAGTGTTGAGGGGCTTTATAATCGCCAAAGTCAAACTATTAGCCAAATGCTATTCCGTTTCAAAATCGGTTTAGCTTTTAAATTGCTTTAAAATTCGCGAATCCATCTGAATGACAATGTGAAGGTGTCGCTTAGCATGCCAAAAGGTAGCATGAGAAGATTTTTAATAGAGCAACCTGCCGGGTGCCTCCTCTAGGTTTCTATTGTCAAACACAACGCATATGCGAAACCGGTTCCCCTGATAACCACGACAATCGGGAGCATTCGCGACACACGCCGCTTGTCCAGTCAGTATGACTCTCAGCATAAGTCTACGGCCGGCTCTCAGATAACACTTATCAAGCTCGTTTCCACGGCAAGGCGCTCTCTCAAAATACAAAACGCTCAGTGTAAATATGAACAGCCAAAAAAACTGCTGACTCATGCTGATATATACATTAACTAACTAATAATGCGCAGTCCGCCAAACAAAATTTCTGAATAAAATAGCCAGTAGTTATCCCGACGGAGCTCAGTGTCTTTCGAAGAGTCGCAAGGAACAAATCGCAAAATGTTATTTCTAATTTATTTGCTGATCGCGATATCAGCTTTGGTGGTGTATCTGCTGCACCGCAACATGAATTACTGGAAGAGCCGGGGAATACCTCAAGAACCCCCGCATCCGTTCTATGGAAATTTGGTCGGATTCAGAAAGAATCGCATAATACATAATGCTTTGATCGAATACTACAACAAATTCCGAAAGACGGGTCATCCGTTTGTGGGTTTTAGCTTTATTCAAAAGCAGAGCGCATTTATCATGGATATCAAACTGGCAAAGAATGTTTTGATTAAGGATTTCACGAACTTCGCCGATCGTGGACAGTTCCACAATGAGCGCGACGACCCACTCACTGGGCATCTCTTCAATTTGGATGGCAAACGTTGGAGGGAGATGCGACAGAAGCTTTCGCCCACTTTTACTTCTGGCAAGATGAAGTTCATGTTCCCGTCTGTCATCAAAGTGTCTGAGGAATTCGTCAAAGTAATGCTTGAAGAAGTCCCAGCCAAATCGGGAGGCGCTATCATCGAAGTCAAAGATCTGATGGCTCGCTTCACAACCGATGTCATAGGCACATGTGCCTTTGGAATTGAGTGCAACACCCTGCGCACTCCCGTAACTGACTTCCGAAAAATGGGACAAAAGTCCTTCACTGAGATGCGTCATGGGACTTTCCTAACCGCATTTAGCTTTAGTTTTCCAAATTTGGCACGCAAACTGCGAATGCGCATGATTCCCGAAGACGTTCACCAGTTCTTTATGGGATTGGTTAAGGAAACAATAGCATACAGAGAAAAGGAAAATATCAAGCGAAACGACTTTATGGAGATGCTCATCGAGCTGAAGCAGAAGGGCAGCTTTACAATGGACAACGGCGAAGTAGTCACAGGGTTGGATGTTGGTGAGTTAGCTGCCCAAGTCTTTGTCTTCTATTTGGCGGGCTTTGAAACCTCCTCATCAACCATGACCTATGGGCTATATGAGCTGGCCCAGCATACCGATATTCAGGATAAGTTAAGAGAAGATATTAAAGATGTTCTGCAGCAACATGATGGAAAACTGACCTACGAAAGCATTAAAGCTATGCGGTACTTGGATCAAGTTATTTCAGGTGAGCTCGAAAAAAAAAAACCGGAGCTCATGGGCTTCTAAACTATTTTGAACTCCTACGTCAACAGAAACTCTCCGCCTGTACACTATTGTGCCTTTCCTCGAGCGCAAGGCTCTGAATGATTATGTTGTACCCGGTCATCCCAAGTACGTTATAGAGAAAGGCACTCAGGTTATAATACCTGCTACTGCCTACCATAGGGACGAAGATTTGTATCCGGATCCCGAGAAATTCGATCCGGATCGCTTCTCGGCTGAACAAGTGGCAGCTCGCGACTCGGTTGAGTGGCTGCCCTTCGGCGATGGCCCCAGAAATTGTGTGGGAATGCGTTTTGGTCAAATGCAAACCCGCATTGGCCTGGCTCAGCTGATAAGGAACTTCAAATTTTCGGTTTGTGACAAAACTGATATTCCGCTCATCTATGATCCCAAATCGTTCGTTTTGGGCACAATTGGCGGCATTTATCTGCGTGTGGAGCGTGTTTAGAATTGAAAAACAACAAAATCAAGCGATGTTGTTTTTACATGAGTTGTGACGATGCGGTCATATTTGTTGGAGCTTGTGTGATTACATACACTAATTTGTATAATAAGCACCTGTTTGCCCTTATATGTACATACACATAAAAAAGAAACAGGCCTACCTGTTCAACTTGTTTTAATTTTCATTAACTAGTTTTATTTATAAAGTATCAAAATATAGAGACCCAATTAAATCCTGAAGTATGTGCTAAAAATAAGCATAGTACGCGTTGATCTAACTTTTTTATTGAACTACGTTCTAATAGGTAATTTAACTTAAAAAAAAAAACACGTTTCTGTATATGTATACAAAAATAAAAATTCTTAGCAAGGGTATATACATATATGTGTGTTGCATGCAACCTGCAATAGGCCACATGCATTTTATGTCTCATTCTGACAATTACATTTAATTGACTTTTAAACGTTTTTTTGTAAATAGTTTGAAATTATTCAATGATTATTTTATGATAAATTAATAAAAAAAATACATTTTTTTGGTATATTTTGCGGTTCCCTTGTAATTTTTTCGATACAAAATCTTGAAAAATCAAAAATAGTTTTCAGAATTTTTTTTTTAGTGAAATTGAGGGGTATTCGTTGTTTCTTTAAAACATAGACACAAATTCGCAGTTTATGTGCGCCAAACAAATCGGCTCTCCAATCCGGTTTTCTCTTCAGTTAAATTCTACGACAAAACACAAAACAAATATTTGCAAAGTAAACATTAAGAAGATTTAAGATTAAAATGAAATGCGACTCTTTGATATCAAGCGCCTGGAAGAAATGGAAAGAAAGAAATGCATTTCACAGTCAGATGCCCTGCTATCTCCCTACACTCCCACACTTTTGCGGATTAAAATAATCACAAACAGATATCGTAGTAAACATTAGGCCAGAGAGAATAAAATACAGGCGGGTTGGCTCGACTGAGCTCAGTGTTTGACCAGAATCCGTTGAGAGCTGAACACAAAATGTTGTTGTTTCTAATATATTTGCTGACCGGTTTATCAGCTTTGGTTGCGTATTTTTTGCACCACAACATGAACTATTGGAAGAACCGTGGAATACCCCAAGATGCACCGCATCCGCTCTATGGAAATCTGACTGGCTTTAGAAAAAATCGCGTACTTAACGATATTGTGGAGGAATATTACAACAAATTCCGAAAGACGGGTCACCCGTTTGTGGGCTTCAACTTTCTGCAAAGACGCAGTGCATTTATTATGGATATCAAATTGGCAAAGAATGTTTTGATTAAGGATTTCACGAACTTCGCCGATCGTGGACAGTTCCACAATGAACGCGACGACCCACTCACGGGGCATCTTTTCAATTTGGATGGCAAACGTTGGAGGGAGATGCGACAGAAGCTTTCGCCCACTTTTACTTCTGGCAAGATGAAGTTCATGTTCCCAACTGTCATCAAAGTGTCTGAGGAATTCGTCAAAGTAATGCTGGAAGAAGTCCCAGCCAAGTCTGGAGGTGCTATCATCGAAATCAAAGATTTGATGGCTCGCTTCACAACCGATGTCATAGGCACATGTGCCTTTGGAATTGAGTGCAACACCCTGCGAACTCCCGAAACCGACTTCCGTAAAATGGCACGTAAAGCACTCGTCGAGTTGCGACACGGTCCGTTGCTGACGGCCTTCCACTTCAGTTTTCCCAATTTGGCACGCAAACTGCGAATGCGCATGATACCTGATGATGTTCATGAGTTCTTTATGGGACTGGTTCAAGAAACAATAGCGTACAGAGAGAAGGAAAATATCAAGCGGAACGACTTTATGGAGATGCTCATCGAGCTGAAGCAGAAGGGCAGCTTTACAATGGACAACGGCGAAGTAGTCACAGGGTTGGATGTTGGTGAGCTGGCTGCCCAAGTCTTTGTCTTCTATATGGCCGGCTTCGAGACCTCTTCATCAACCATGAGCTATTGTCTATATGAGCTGGCCCAGCATACCGATATTCAGGACAAGTTAAGGGAAGACATTCATAATATTCTGCAGTCATATGATGGTAAACTGACCTATGAAAGTATTTTAGCCATGCGATACTTGGATCAGGTTATTTCAGGTGAGCTGAAAGACATATCAAGTATTGAAAGCAATTGTAACTACCCTCTGCACTTGCTTTAATAGAAATACTCCGCCTATATACTATTGTACCTTTCCTCGAACGCAAGGCCCTAAATGATTATGTTGTTCCTGGACATCCAAAATACGTTATCGAGAAGGGAACGCAGGTCATACTGCCTGCAGCTGCCTATCATCGGGATGAAGACCTCTATCCCGATCCCGAGAAATTCGATCCGGATCGCTTCTCGGCTGAACAAGTGGCAGCTCGCGACTCGGTTGAGTGGCTGCCCTTCGGCGATGGCCCCAGAAATTGTGTGGGAATGCGTTTTGGACAAATGCAAACACGTGTTGGCCTGGCCCAGCTGATAAGGAACTTCAAGTTTTCGGTGTGTGACAAAACTGATATTCCGCTCATCTATGATCCCAAATCGTTCGTTTTGGGCACAATTGGCGGCATTTACCTGCGTGTGGAGCGAGCTTAGCTGGAAATATGTAAACGTGCCCAGTGCTTTGTTTTCAAATTCTTGAATTGTTGTCGATGTCGTCATGTGTGGCTAATATGCAGTCTGAATTACATATAGTAACAGAGATTAGCAAACATGTTTGCCTTTGTATGTACTTTTGTGAATGGGTATGTTATTAACAAACATATAATTAAATGGTGTAATAAAGCATGAAAAGGCACACTTCACTCTACCAGCGAATACTCTGTCTGCGGCCTTTCGCAACATATTTATATATTTAAACATGCTACTAGAAATAACTTTTGTTACCTGCTTCAATTATCTTTATACCACTTGATATTCTGAGAACTGATAGCAAACTGTTTTATAATAGTTTTTGTGATTGCAGCCTTTATCAGATGCTTAGGACTGTTTAAAAATTATCTAACATTTATTTATATTTATTTAAAATTATATTTAAGTCTACAATTATGGTAAGCTCTTTAATCCCTACCTATGCTGTATTAAAGTTTAAAGACCTCAGCTACTAAGAGCCCGGTTTGCATGGAAGTTATAGATTGTGCAGTTCTTAAACAACAAATATCGGAGCACAGTGAAAAACTTTTATTATTTTAAACACGGTCTCGCTTACTTAATCTGTATACAAATTTCTTTTTCTTTTCAATCATTTTTTTATTCCATAATTTTTTTTTTATATTGCTGCTTGAGCAAAAAACTTTTCCCAAAGAGAAAAAATAGTTTTTCGTTTGACGGTTTATCTGTTCAGCGTTTTACGCTTCAACTATTTTAGTTATTTACATTCGAATTGGCACTGAATGATTTAAAGGGAAGCTGCCAAACTATTTTATACCAAGTCTTGCTCTACCCAAAAGACTCCCCCACATGTGCATAGTTTTCATCGCATTAAATTCCAGGCACCAGGCGAGTTCCTTACAATCAATATCTCCCCCAAAGCACATACATCAGCATTTACATAGTTGAGGTCGGGCACTTGCTTTTGTGGGCTATGTAAATAGTTCTTGGGAAGGTAGCACAAATTTTCTTTGGCTGCGAACTTTTTCACAGCTTAAAGGCAAACACTTTGCACAAGGTTTAATGAAAATCTTCTTTAAATGTAGGTCGCGTATGCGTAAGAGTAATCATACTATTTAAAATTCTTGTAACACACATTGAAATTGTATTTTAATTATGCATGACAAGATAAAAAGTGTTTTTTTTTTATCTAATGTCATCACAACATGCAACTCGTGGAAAATGAGGCTGTGTAAAGAACTGAAAACTGCATAAAACTTTTTCTCTATCTAAAGGCGTGGAAAATTCTATTAATTGTGCCATTCTCTAACGGCGCAACAGAAAATGTCATTAAAAATAGTTTCACATGTTTTGCGGTGCTCAAATAGAAATTCACGCGTTAATCATTTAAGTGATTTCTGCATAGCATGTGCTCGGTCATAACGTTAAAAATGGGTTTTAATAAAAAAATACACATTCCCTTATATATATTTATTTATTTTTAAGGCAGCAGATTATATTTTTTTTCGTATTTTTCACTCTAAAAAAACTTAACTTAACTTTGCTGATATATAGCTTGTAATGCCCTCTAAGAGAATTTTTAAACCATGAAAAAAAAACTGTAATTTATTATATTGAAACAGAAATTCACAACCGGAAAAGCAAAAAAATTAATAAATTATTAAATAACGCCGCATTTAATAGGCTGAATAAAACGCAGAAATTGCCAGAGCACATGCCATTCATGTGCAACAAAATTCAATGTAAAACAATTTCGCGTTGCTTATGCAGATTATTTGAATGGACTGTGGATTGCGAGTATCTTACGGATACACGCAATTCGGCTCATGAAATGCTTTAGCCTCTGCTTACTCATTGTGAGCAGTCATTGACTTGTTTTGGCAAAGCCGCTTTTTGTGCTCCACCTTTACTGAAACAGGCTAAAATCAAATTAATTACTAGTCTCAAGCATGGATTGTTGTTGGATTTTGTTTTGTTTTGTTTTTTGTTGAACTCATAAAGCACTTGCCACTTAGGGAGTGAAAAACGAAATGAGAAATATATCAAATAAGAGCAGCAGCAGCTGGGAGAAGGGCAGGTTGTTCAACCTTAACAATGACAACACCTTCGCCGGGCCAACTTTAATAAATCGAATGCCAAAAACAGTTGCTTAATTAAAGGAAGACTTTGACTCTAGGATTTACACAGTTGCAGCAAATGATTTCATTACCGAGGGAGTCAACGGCTGCAGTGCACACTGATTAATACACTGTGAGAAAAACGTTAAGGCATTTTGCCTGTTTATCGCATATATTAATTATGTTGCATTGTTAAATATTTGGGGGGAGAAACCAATAATTAAATGTAAAAAAAAACTATTATATAATATGAGGGAAATAAGAAATATGCTAAAAGTAGAAAATATGCCAAAATGAAATTGAATCTCAATTAAATGTAAATTTTTGTTGAAATACAGTTAATACAATTTGTTAAATATTACAATAAATAAAATTAAGAAATTGTATTTCAATTCTGAAAGCGCAAATCAATAATATAAAAATGTTTAAGTAATTATATAATTATTGATGTGCATGCCAGAAAGAAGTAGAAAAGAACTTCATTATAAAATGTCTTTCCACAATTTACAAATATATTTAATATAATTATAAAACAGGCTCAGCAGGGCACACAATATATGAAATACAAAAAGTTGAGAAGAATAATAAACATTTTGTGCGGTAAGCCAGAAAGGTAAAAGAAATTACCAAAAGCAAAAGCAATTTCAATCTGCGAGCTTCTTCAATTGCTATTTTTACAGTGTACGCAGCTTGTCCTCAAGCCCATCTCATATTTGATTTTGCATCAAGTAACAACAATCAAGATCATTGCGATTGCCCGAAGCAGAGGCCACAGGGCAGCCGCAATATTAGTTGGAAGTGCATTACAACGACAACAGCAATTACAATTGCAGCAGCAGGCAGCCGGCAGCAACAGTTGCTGCCGGAGACGGAAGTGTTGCAGTTGTGTGCGTGGGGCTCTTCAAGCGCAGCAGCAGCTGGGCATTTGGCCAGTTAGCCGAGGTTTGGGGCACATGCGATACGAAAGCGTATGTCAATGGATTAATTGCATTTGCTTTGATATTGCTACCTGCCACAGCAAGAGCCAGTGAAAGCTGCACAACTGATGCAGCCACAGCAGCAGCAGCAACAGCAACTGACCAGCAAAAACAAACAGAGCTGAAATTTTGTTGACAACTTTGTTTGCAAGTTGCGTTTTTTTTTTCTGCCAGCGAGCATTCATGATATGAGATACGCGTATTTTGCATGCCTGATTGAGGCTGCGACTGTGGCTGCTCCAATTTGCGACACGCCACAGCAAGTGGTGGCTGCCTTTGTTGCTGCCACACTTCAGCAACTGTCAGCAGCGTTGCATAAAGAGAGCCACACCAAGACACTCACACACACACACACACACACACACACCTGGACGCCGCTGTTGTTATGTCGTGCTGCTAATTTAAACTCTGCCGTGTGACGGCACCAATTGCCAACTTCAGTTCAGTTTACGACGCGACACCGCGCGGTTGCACAACTTGCCAAGCACATCTCGCAGCGCGTGTTGCTTTTCAATTCTGTTGTTGTTTTATATAAGACTTCGTGCCTAGCTGCCAATTCAATTATGGCCATAAATCGAAAGTGGTACGCGCTAAAAAAGCCAAAAGATTTAATAATAATATATATGTATATCATACACAAAAAAGTTACATGTGCAAAATGTGTGGCATGCAAATGTTGTTGCCAATAGCTGCTGTTTGTGTTGTTGTTGTTGTTGTTGCTGTTAGCCACGAACATATTTTTTGTGGCGCTGAGCACGCTTGCAACTCATTTATCAGCGTGCCGAAAAAAGAACTACTAGCCAAATTCATATTATATAGTTTGCGGCCCGTAAACAGTGGCACACGTTTTGCGAATTTCATTCAAAAATACACACACACGTACACACAACAAAAACATTTGCATGCTATTATTTTTTTTTAAGCATTTCGAAAATTTATTACAGCATTTGACACACAAAAAAAAACAAGCAAATGAAAATTTTGTTACAAAACTAAAATAATAAAAAAAATTACAAATAAAATCTACACACAAAATACAAGCTTACAGCACATAAAAAGAAGCATAACAAATAATAGAAAGCAGCCGTGTAAAAAATGTTATTTCGTCGCAGTTGTACGTATAATGTGGAGCAATCAACGCGACATTATGCAAAGGTAAAACATTGCGTTGCATTTACGAGTATGAAAAGTATGTAAAAAGTACGTGCCCACACTTAAGTCAGATATAAATTTGCAAGTTATGTAGGGAGTGCGACTCTGTCTGTGTGTGTATCTGTGTGTGTGTGTCGTGTGCTATCGTTAGCATATGGAACACATTGAGATACAAATAAGTATATTTCTTTGATAGCCTTGTCTGATTGCGGCATGTGCTTAATGGTTCAACTCTGCAATGGACTGTGCCATTATTTTTATCCACTTGAAGGTGGATTTTGTGTGTCACGATGTTCTTGCAGGAAAAGGTATTTATCTATGTGTAAAAGATGCCATTTGCAAGACTTTTTTATCTAGCTAAATCAAAGAAACAAATCTTCTGTTTTGGATAGAAAAGAAAGAGAAAAGGAGCAGTTCCTTTTTTATTACTAATAGCCAAAGAAGTTTAATGCTTGAAAAGGCTTTTTTTTTTCAAAGAGCTCTACGTTATGCAAAATTATTAAAAAGAAAAAACATATATAGGTATAAAAGAACAAAGGCAGATAATAAACATCTCCTGCATAATAAAATGTTGCAAAATGTTTTATATCCCACAAAGCCTTTACAGGCTCTTTAGCTTATGATGAGCACTTTCTTTCCATTAGATTCCAATTAAAATGCACACAATGGCCAATGGTCTAAGCTTCAACATAACAAAGAACACCAAACATCGATTGAAAACGAACCGGCTTGGCTCAATAAGCCATTCCCAACTATCAATGGGATTTACCCAATGCAAGCGAAAAGCTCAGGAGCTGTGCGCCGGCGGGAAATTGTGATAAAAGAAACAAAACGAGGAGATGAATTGCCAATGATAGGAATTGTAGTGAGACAAGAGAGAATGCTCAACTAGCAGATACCCTGTCTGAGATATTTTAAATATATTAAGA